GCCGCCGCCGCCCCCCGGAGGTGCCGGGGCCCGGATCCCGCGCCGAGCCAGCCAGCGTCCCGAGCCGCCCAGGTAAGGTCCGCGGCCCCCGGCCCGCCCTCGGGGTTCGGTGGCCCAGCCGGCCTGCGGCTCCCCACCCCCACCTCCCTGGTCCCCTCCCGCCGTCGCCGCCGCTGCCTCCATTTATTATTTCCCGACCTCGTCCCCACTGCGGGCCCTGCCTGGCCGGGTTGGGGTGCGCGGATGGGGCACCCCGTGCAGGGCTAGGGCCCGGGCGCCCTGCGGCCCGGAAGGGTTGGGAAAGGAGGGGTCTCCGTAGCAGGGCTGATGGTGCCGAGGGTGGCCGTGCTCGGGGACCGTGGAGGAGGACGCGGAGGTGGACGGCTGGGGTAAATCGAGTGCTGGGAGGGGTTCAGGGAGAAGCCGGAGGGTTTGGAGAGGTGGGGCGTGAAGGCACCCGGAGAAATTTCGAAGAACAGAGCCTGGGCTCCAGAACCGGGGTTACGGGCCTTAGGGTCTGAAAGGAAGTGGGAACCGGGAAAGGGGTGTGGTAGGTGGACAGAGAGACATTCTGTCTGCTGCCGAGAAAAGGGTTTGGAGCTGGGGAAAGCGGAGAGTCGGAGAACCAGCAGTACACCTTTCAGAAGCAGAACCCGAGGTTTAAGGGGTTTAAGTTGGAAGGCCATGTCTTTTGTGGCTCAGTTTTCCTTTCCCTATTCCAGGTCTCTGAACCCGTTTTCCCAATCGCGGACATAGTTACTTCTTGAGAGGGGCACTGGGCTCAGTAGTGTGGATCCTTCTAAAACTAATGAGAACAGGGCCGCTGAAGGCGACTTAAGAAGAAAGGGTTTCTGGGAGGATGGAGGAGAGGAGAGAATTGGGCAACCTTAGGCATTCCAAACAAGTTGTAACCTCCACCCAGAAGTCCGCGCGCGTTCGCTGCCCCTGAGCTGCGATTTCTTCAGAGGTCTCCCTTTGTGCCTGGGGTAGGTACCCTGAAGCTTCAGTCCCTAGGGTGCTACTCTAGGAGAGTAAGAATTGCTTCAGCAACTGAGGTGATGGTGGTGGCTGCCAGATGGTCCCCTGGGATGGGTCTCTTGTGGGGCTTTTTTTGCCTTTTTGTTGCCATGGCAGAGATCTATTGAGATGTCCAGTAGGTGGGCGTTCAGAATTGGACCTAGGTCCCGGGGACTCTTGGCTGGACTTGGGGTGGTGTTGGTGCCCCCAGTGGTGGGGAATTTCCTGTCTGTCCAGTGGGCTGTTGGAGCAGGTGGACTGTTACTTTGTCGTTTGTCTTTCCAAGTCCCTCCATCTAGGCATGGTGGGAGAGTGAAAGTGTTCTCGTTAAAGTTATATCCTTTCGCACTCTGTGTGTGTTTGTGTAGCTCAGTGGTAGAGCTTGTCCAGTAGATAACTAGGCCCTGCATTTGATCCCCAGGACTTGGAAGATAACAGAAATCAAGTTATATCACTTTTGAGCAGTGTGTTCTGGGCTCTCTTTTACTGTGTTTTGTGCACAGTAGTCATTTGCTTCTTTACAGTGTCTATCCATTTTCTTAATCTTGAATTCTTCTTTGTTTTTGAAATAGGGTCTGTATCAGTTCAGGCTGACCTCAAACTTGAGGCAATCCTGCCTCAGCCTCCTGAGTGCTTAGATTACAATAGGTCATGCCACCAGGCCCACCTTAAGTTCTTTGATTCTCTCTGTCCGCTCCTTCCAGACTATCCCCAGGGTGATCTCTTCCTTCAGCTAACCTTTGACCCTCTACTTTTCTGACCTTGTGGGCAGGACTGAGCTCTCCATACTTGTCCCAGGTTCAGGTGGCTCTGGAGAGGAGGCTGGGAAACAGCCTAGGGCAGTGCAATACTCTGGCAGGAGCCGGGGGCTGGGCCTGGCTGGGCCTCTAATTCACTATGACCTTGGGCAAGTCGCTTTCTTGTTTTGAGCCTCACCACTGTCAAATGAAGAGATTATAGGAGAGATGAACAGGATGCCCTAGATTCTAAGAAGGCTTAGGCCAGGACATTGTCATCTGCAGGGCTGGGCAGCACTGGGGTCTATTCACTTGGACAGCTTGGTTCTGACTAGTAGGTGTGGAATGATTGGGGCTCGGCCGGGATCCTGAAATCCATCCTTTATGCTTTCCGTATTTTCCCTTTTAAATTCTCCTATGGACTTAGGGGCTATTGTCCTGTTCCTCACTATTCAGCCTCCATAGCAATAGGGTGCACAGTAGGTACACTCTACTGTAGTCACAGTGGCTGCCTTCCAGGGACAGAAAAATGGGGCTCAGTTTGCTTTTTTTTTTTTTTTTTTTCAGTACCAGGGATTGAACTCAGGACCCTGCGCTTGACAGACAAGCACTTTTTCTACTGAGCTATCTCCCCAGCCCTGGGGCTCAGCTTCTGATGGTGGACCGTAACCCAGTCTCCCCTGCCGCTTATTCCTTATGTCTGATTACTTCCCCTTGGATGACTGGCTTTTTCCTTCACAGGTACTCACTGCGAATATTCAGATTTCAGCTCACGGAGAACACACTATCCTTGCTCTGTTTGTCCACTACCTTGCTTCTCTGACCTTTTGGGTTTCTGAGCTCTTAACTGACTTGGTGTGCAGATACATGATAGGGTAGAAGAGGTGGGCATCCTGCTTTAGAAGAACTGCCAAACTAGTCACAAGTCTTCCCTTGAGCTTTTAACATTGTTTTCAAAAAAAAAAAAAACATTGTTTTCATCTTTTTTTTTTTCTTCACCTTTTGTTTTGTCGGTCTTGTTGTTTGGATTTTGTTGTTGGTGTTTTTGATAGTATTTTAAAACCAGTGTCGGGGCTGGGGACATGGCTCAGTGGAATAAGTGCTTCCCTGGCAAGTGCAAGGGCCTGAGTTCACTCCCCAATTCTGCAAAAAAAAAAAAAAGTGATATTAGATGTAGTTGAAGGAAAATGACTAATCCATTGGGTACAGTGTTATTTAATTTTTGATTTCTTGGTTTTCATGAGATAGGGTGTTTTGATCTTCTGCTTCCACCTCCCAAGTGCTAGGATTACAGGTGTGTTCACCACACCTAGCTGCATAACGGTAGACCTGGGGCTCTGTCCCAGATAATGTTTGACTTTTTTCCCCCGCAGTACTAAGGATTGAACTCAGGGCCTTTGCACTGAGCTTTATCCCAAGCCATGTTTTATTTTAAGACTTCTCATGGAGTCACTCAGGTATATAGGCTGGGCTTGAGTTTGTGATCCTCCTGCCTCACCCTCCCAGAGGCCTGGAATTACAGGTGTCTGTGTCATCACATGCAGGTGTGTTGTGACTTTGAACTTACTTTGTAGCCAAAACTGGCTTCAAATTCATAGCAATCCTCCTGCCTCAGGATTATAGGTATACACCAATACTAGATTATATTGTGACTTTTTTTTTTTTTTTTTTTTTTTTTGTGGCTGGCTTAGCCTACCCTGGGGACGGGGCTGGTGCAACATGTGGTGCTGAGGATTGAACCGTAGTCCCTGCGCTGGCCAGTATGTTGTGACTTTTAAATAAACTATTACAGTGACATAAGCACCTTGAGTTCAATCCCTAGTAACAAACAGTTAAACAAGTTGTCCAGGAAGGTTAGACTCCTCACTACCTGCCTCATTACACTTCAGTGGGGGTGAATGAGAAGTGATTACTCTGCATCCCCTGTGGAAAATACACTATGGTATGTGGAAATGAAGGCTGGGGAGATAGCTCAGTAGAATAAGTGCTTGCCTGGCAAGTGCAGGGTCCTGAGTTCAATGCCCCATACTGGAAAAAAAAAGTATGTGGAAATGACATTCAGCTAGCAGGGATGGGTCAGGACAGAGTGGCAAGATTCATGGGTCCCACCTAGGCCAGCAGCACCAACTTCCAGAATAACTTCTGTTAGGACTGGGTTGAAAGGTCTGTGATGTGTGAATACCTGTGTATCCAAACCTCAGTGGGGGAGCTAGAAAGGAAAGTGTTAGGAAATGATAGGAAATGACAGGTTTTGCTCTCCAAAGGTCTTGAAGGCAGGAAGATGCAGACTTGACCCTTAGCAAGAGGTAAAAAGGATAAATGGAAGCAGCTGGTCCTGGGGACAGCCATGTGATGATCCTTACCTGTTGATGATTTATTGCTGTCCTGGTGTTTGAACCCAGGGTCTTCCCCCATTTAAATAAATTTTAAGATGGGCTCTCTGATTCTTCCTACTCGTTTCCAGAGTGCTGGTATTAGAGGTGTTTGTCACCCCCAGCCTTATCTGTAGATGGATATAAATGGGTAGGCTAAGGGAGGAGACACCTAAATGCTGTCTGATCTGTATTGTGTGCTCCCTGCTGCAAATTTTGAGTCTCTGGTACTTCATATTTTGAGCCTTTGGTTGTTAATATGAAAACCCTGACTTCCCCTGGCCTTACACGGGTGTTTAGGGGTGCTGTTTGTGGAACACCTCCAATCACTACAGACCCAAAGTCTGCGTATCTGTCATGTACTTTGTTTCTAAGTTACTTACAATACCTAACATAGTGTGAGTGCTCCATAACTCATTGTTATACTGTGTTATTGAGGAAATTGTGACAGAACAGTTGACTAGGCCCAGCTACCTGGTGTGTAGAGGAGACTGAGAAGGCCATTGCCAGCTGGGGAGAAACCTAGGGTCTGTGGAAATGCAGGAGGCCACTTGTCACCTCATTCCTATTTTGCCTCAGAGAAGGCAAAGTGTACGCCACACTCAGGTTTCATTTTCTGGAATTTTTTTCTTGAGCACTGTAATCCATGGTTGAGTCTGTGTTGGGGTAACCTATGGATGGGGAAGTGGCTGTACCAGGGAGTAGATCTTTTTTCTTTTTTTTTTTTTTTTGCCGTCTTGGGGATTGAACTCAGGACCTTGTGCAGTTCCACATGAAGTGGTATGTAGATATAATAATGGAACTGGTGGGGCTGTGCTCCTGAGTGTCACACAATGGGACATTCTTCTACCTACTCTGATGTGAAGAAAGAGTCACATCTCTGTGAGTGATCCAGGCCTTCTGAGAATTCTCTTCATGAGCTTCTGAGGGGAGCATGGCAAAGTATAGAAGAAAGCTCTGAGGCTCTGAAATCTGAGACGGGGCTGGATCCTGGCTTTGTCACTGGTGTCTCACTCTGGGAGGCCAGGCAAGTCACAGCCATCATCTCTAAGCCTTATTTAGTCTCCTACCTGGTAAGAACAGTGACGCCCACCTTTCGGCGCTGGTTGTACATAGTCTATGAAATCATGTATGTAAAGGGTCTGACACAAAGAAGGGAGTCAGCACAGTAAAGACTTCATTCTCATTTCTTTGTGCCTCCTCAAAAGGCCACTCGAGCGCAGGGTGTAGTGGTGCATGCCTATAATCCCAGCACTTGGGAGGCCAAGGCAGGAGGATCATTCGAGTTTGAGACCAGCCTGGGCTACAAAGTAAGCGCAAGGCCAGCCTGGACTGCATAGCAAGACCCTGTCTCAAAAAGATAAGGACAAAAAAAAAAAAAAAAAAGAATGAACAGGCTCCTTGCATGGAATCTGCACACACAAATATTCTGTGGGGATTGAGAAGGGTAAAAGTCCTGTAATTTCCTGATTGGAACCCCTTCAGTTGAATTTTTTGCCTTCCCCAGAGTAACCTTGTACCTTGTACCTTGCAAGACTGGCCAGCAGTGTCTATGGTGTTCCTCCCCTTAGCCCCCTACGAAGAGTAGCACCCCTTGCAGACTCAGGTGAAGCCTGGTGGTCTTTTTTGAACAGGTTTCTCAGAAAGCAGACCGTGCGAATTTCAGGAGCTCCTGGAGCTGTGCCTGCTGCTCTGCCAGCTTCCCAGTCACAGCTGGGAGACTTGGGGCAAGGCAGAGAAGTTTTTGTATTCAGCTGCCCAGGCAGAGGAGAATGGGGTCTCCACAGCCTAAAGAATGAAGACGCGACAGAATAAAGACTCGGTGAGTAAGATCTAAGGGACAGGGAAGATTAAGGGCAGGAGGATAGAAAGGAGGGGCTGGAGCAGGCACACTGCAGTCAGTGGGAAGTAAAGACATTACTGGTCTCTTCCCTCAGATGTCGATGAGGAGTGGACGGAAGAAAGAGGCCCCAGGGCCCCGGGAGGAGCTGAGATCGAGGGGCCGGGCCTCCCCGGGAGGGGTCAGCACATCCAGCAGCGATGGCAAAGCTGAGAAGTCCAGACAGACAGCCAAGGTATTTCATCCCCAGGTCCCACGGTTGCCCAAGAGGGGCACAGGGGTGCTGTGGATCTGCATCCAGCAGAGGGTACAGTGGAGGCTTAGGAGGGAAATGACAGAACTCTCTTTCTCCCTAACAGAAGGCCCGAGTAGAGGAAGCTTCCACCCCAAAAGTCAGCAAGCAAGGCAGGAGTGAAGAGATCTCCGAGAGTGAAAGTGAAGACACCAATGCACCAAAAAAGACCAAAACTGAGGTGGGAGGCCCATGTTCTGATAATTATTTCCCCAATCTTCTTTCCACTCAGTATTCCTGCCTTGGTCTTTGCTGGGATATGGAGAGAAGTCTTATCTTACCGCTTATTAAATGTCCCTAATGGTAGATAGATTTTCAGGGCTTTGATCAGACCATAAATGATTAGGCAGGACCATAAGGGCCTGGAAGGGTTGTAGTGGGTCACAGGCTGAGAAATCTTAGTGGAAGGAGCAAATGGTGAGGAGCAGGGCATGGTGGCCCACACCTGTAATCTCAGCATTTAAGAGGCTGAGGCAGGAGGATTTGCCATGATTTTGAAGCCTGCCTGTGGTACATAGTGAGTTCAAGGCCAGCCTGAACTACAAAGCGAAACCCTGTCTCCCAAAACCAAAGAAAAAGATTGCATAAGTGTTTGTGGTTTGTTTTTTTTTGTTTTTGTTTTTGTTTTAATTGTTTTAAGAACCAAGGGTGTGGAGGATGGTTAAAGGGGCCAGTAAGATGAGTGGAGGGCAGGTACAAAGGAAGAAGGAATTCAGAGATGTGAAGGGGAAAGTGCTTGAGGAGGGCTTGACAAGCAGGTCAAGCAGGGATTCCCAAAGGCAGGAGGTGGGTTTGAGCAGGTGCTGTGGGAGGCAAGGTGGAGAGGGGAGTCCAGTCTTGGGAGGCAGGACAGGGAAGGAAAACACTGCCTTCCCCTCTACAGCAGGAGCTCCCTCGGCCGCAGTCCCCCTCGGACTTGGACAGTCTGGACGGCCGGAGCCTGAATGATGATGGCAGCAGTGACCCAAGGGACATAGACCAGGACAACCGCAGCACTTCCCCCAGCATTTACAGCCCTGGGAGTGTGGAGAATGACTCCGACTCATCTTCTGGCCTGTCCCAGGGCCCAGCCCGCCCCTACCACCCACCTCCACTTTTCCCTCCCTCCCCTCCACCACCTGAAAGTGCCCCCAGACAGCCAGACGCTGGCTTTGAACCCCATCCTTCTGTGCCACCCACTGGCTATCATGCTCCCATGGAGCCCCCCACACCCCGAATGTTTCAGGCTCCGGGGGCCCCTCCCCCTCATCCACAGCTTTACCCTGGGGGAGCAGGTGGAGTTTTATCTGGACCTCCGTTGGGACCTAAAGGGGGAGGGGCTGTCTCAGTTGGGGCCTCTAGTGGGGGCAAGCAGCACCCCCCACCCACTACCCCCATTTCCATATCAAGTTCTGGGGCCAGTGGTGCTCCCCCAGCAAAGCCACCCAATACTCCAGTGGGTGGTGGGAACCTAGCCTCTGCGCCACAACCAGCCTCTTTCCCCCATGTGACACCAAACCTGCCCCCCCCACCTGCCCTAAGACCCCTCAACAATGCCTCAGCCTCTCCTCCTGGCCTGGGGGCCCAGCAAGTCCCAGGGCATCTGCCCTCTCCTCATGCCATGGGCCAGGGCATGGGTGGACTTCCTCCAGGACCAGAGAAAAGCCCAGCTCTGGCCCCCTCACCGCACCCACTACCCCCTGCCTCCTCCTCTGCCCCAGCACCGCCAATGAGGTATCCCTATTCATCCTCTAGCAGCATCTCTGCCGCAGCCTCCTCCAGTTCTTCCTCTTCCTCTGCCTCCCAGTACCCTGCATCCCAGGCCCTGCCCAGCTACCCGCACTCCTTCCCTCCCCCCACGAGCCTCTCCGTCTCCAATCAGCCTCCTAAGTATACGCAGCCTTCTCTCCCATCCCAGGCAGTGTGGAGCCAGGGTCCGCCCCCACCTCCTCCCTACAGCCGCCTCTTGGCCAACAGTAGTGCCCACCCAGGCCCCTTCCCTCCTGCTGGGGCCCAAGCCACTGCTCACCCCGGTGCCCCAGCACATCACCACCACCAGCAGCAACAGCCTCAGCCTCCACCTCCACCCCCACCCCCACCCCCACCCCAGCAGCCGCAGCCTCAACCTCAGCCACCACAGCACCATGGAGGCTCGGGGCCCCCACCGGGAGCATACCCACACCCTCTGGAGAACAGTGGCTCCCACCATACACACCCTTACACCATGTCTCCCTCCTTGGGGTCCCTGCGGCCCTACCCTCCTGGGCCTGCACACCTGCCCCCGCCTCACAACCAGGTGTCCTATAGCCAGGCAGGCCCCAGTGGTCCCCCAGTCTCCTCCTCGTCCAACTCCTCTTCCTCCTCGCAAACGTCCTACCCATGCTCACACCCCTCCTCTTCCCAGGGTCCCCAGGCAGCGCCTTACCCCTTCCCTTCGGTGCCTCCGGTCACCACCTCTTCAGCCACCCTTTCCACAGTAATCGCCACTGTGGCTTCCTCGCCAGCAGGCTACAAAACGGCCTCCCCACCTGGGCCCCCACCCTACGTCAAAAGAGCCCCGTCCCCATCCCCGGGTAACTACAAGACTAACACCCCGCCCGGGTACAAGCCAGGCTCACCACCCTCCTTCAGAACGGGGACCCCGCCAGGCTACCGCGGCGCCTCCCCGCCTGCAGGCCCGGGAACGTTCAAGCCGGGCTCTCCCACCGTGGGCCCCGGGCCTCTGCCGCCCCCGGGGCCTTCGAGCCTGCCTGCCCTTCCGCCGCCGCCAGCCGCGGCCTCTGCCGCGGGGCCACCCCTGAGCGCCACGCAGATCAAACAGGAGCCGGCCGAGGAGTACGAGGCCCCCGAGAGCCCAGTGCCCCCGGCCCGCAGCCCCTCGCCCCCTCCCAAGGTGGTGGACGTGCCCAGCCACGCCAGCCAGTCGGCCAGGTGAGCGTGGGTGTGCGAGGGTTGACGCCTATTGTCGCGCCTTGCCGGCGACCGAGACCAGGGCCTTCACGGGGAGCTACGTCCCGGTCTTTTATAAAGTCAGGGTCTCGCGTAGAAACCCAGGCTGGGCTAGGAACCATACGGCTGCGCCCCCACCCCAGCTCATGTTGTTTGGAGAAGGGCACCTGGCAGGGTACCCTGGCCCTCGCGCCCGCGGGGGAAGATGGCCCGAGGTGCTAAGTGCGCCGTCTCCGCCCCGCAGGTTCAACAAACACCTGGACCGTGGCTTCAACTCGTGCGCGCGTAGCGATTTGTACTTCGTGCCACTGGAGGGCTCTAAGCTGGCCAAGAAGCGGGCCGACCTAGTGGAGAAGGTGCGGCGCGAGGCCGAGCAGCGCGCGCGCGAAGAAAAGGAGCGGGAGCGGGAGCGGGAGCGCGAGAAGGAGCGCGAGCGCGAGAAGGAGCGCGAGCTGGAGCGCAGCGTGGTGAGTGTGTCCGGAGACGCCTGCCGCCTCTTCCCTTCTCCCTTTGCTGGCGCTGCTGGGCTCCGGGTGGGGGTCGGAAGTCACTCCGCCGCCTGTCGGATAGGAGGAGTCACTGCAGCCCGAAAGAAGCTGCTTATTCCACTCGAGAGCGGAGCGGGGAGTACTTGCACTGGTGGGCGGATTCCTGTGGGTCGCCTGAAGGGAAAATACAAAGACGATGAGCAAGAAAGTGCCTTATAGGAACAGGCAGTGTCTTTTTGTAACTGCAGTTTTGACTCCCCTTGTATACCTTGCAGAAGTTGGCACAGGAGGGTCGTGCCCCAGTAGAGTGCACATCTTTGGGCCCAGTGCCCCATCGCCCTCCGTTTGAACCTGGCAGTGCGGTGGCCACAGTGCCCCCCTACCTGGGTCCTGACACTCCAGCCCTGCGCACTCTCAGTGAATATGCCAGACCTCACGTCATGTCTCCAGGCAATCGAAACCATCCTTTTTATGTGCCCCTGGGGGCAGTGGACCCGGGGCTCCTGGGTTACCCAGCCCTATACAGCAGTGATCCCGCCGCCCGGGAGAGGGAGCGGGAAGCCCGTGAACGAGACCTCCGTGATCGTCTCAAACCTGGTTTTGAGGTGAAGCCTAGTGAGCTGGAACCTCTCCATGGGGTCCCTGGGCCAGGCCTGGATCCCTTCCCCCGACATGGGGGCCTGGCTCTGCAGCCTGGCCCGCCTGGCCTGCACCCTTTCCCTTTTCACCCGAGCCTGGGGCCTCTGGAGCGAGAACGTCTAGCGCTGGCAGCTGGGCCAGCCCTGCGGCCTGACATGTCCTATGCTGAGCGGCTGGCAGCTGAGAGGCAGCATGCAGAAAGGGTGGCAGCCCTGGGCAATGACCCACTGGCCCGGCTACAGATGCTCAATGTGACCCCGCATCACCACCAGCACTCCCACATCCACTCACATCTGCACCTGCACCAGCAGGATGCCATCCATGCAGGTGAGCTGCGTTTCCTTGCTGTGGCTTTTGTGGGTGCCCCTGGCCTGCCATGGCTTCTCTGTTTCTCTGGCCAGAACTTCTCTCCTCTGGTGTGGCAGGAAACTCTCCTGAGATTGCTGCCCTGGTCTTTGCTTCCCTGACCTTCCTCACAGTCTTCCCTGTAGTCCACCACCTGACAGAGGCCCTAGCTGGAATCCTAGCCTGTCATCGTGTGTGTGTGTGTGTGTGTGTGTGTGTGTGTGTGTGTGTGGTGTTGGAAATTGAAGCCAGATCTTTCACACTGAGCTACATCCTCAGCCCTTTTTAATATCCTGGTCTCAAATTTGAGATTGTCTGCCTCAGCCTCCTACCCGCACTGCTGGAACTGTTGCCCTATTATTGCCTGCCTGTCTCTTTGTCATCCCTGGGTTCCTGCCAACAGAAGTATTTTTTTCTGTCTCCCAGGTCTCTAGGTTTCTGTTCTGTCTTTGGTTTCCTCTGGATCCCTTTGTGCTTGGTGGTCTCTTCCCAGGCTCAGATCCCAGAAGCATGCTCTTCACCAATCTTGCCTTCTATTGACACATGCTCTTCTTTGCCCTTCAGCCTCTGCCTCAGTGCACCCTCTCATTGACCCTCTGGCCTCAGGCTCTCACCTTACACGGATCCCTTACCCAGCCGGGACCCTCCCTAATCCCCTTCTTCCTCACCCTCTGCACGAGAACGAAGTTCTTCGTCACCAGCTCTTTGGTAAGGACAGAGGTCAGGGTAGGAAGGTTATGAAGAGGGTGGAAAAGGGGAATGTGAATGTGGGTGGTGGGAGGGGCTAAGTGGGGTTTTCAAGGGATGAGCTGCGATTGGAATCTGGAGAGGCTCTGGCAGCTTGCAGGATAGCATTCCCCTCACTGTTCTGTGTGGGTAAATGGCTGGCTGTCCCCTCCCCCAGGGCGCGGTGCTCAGTATCCACAAATCATAAGCCCCTTGCCCTTCACAGCTGCCCCTTATCGGGACCTGCCAGCCTCCCTGTCGGCTCCCATGTCTGCAGCACATCAGCTGCAGGCCATGCACGCGCAGTCGGCCGAGTTGCAGCGCTTGGCGCTGGAACAGCAGCAATGGCTGCATGCCCACCACCCCCTGCACAGTGTGCCGTTGCCCGCCCAGGAGGATTACTACAGGTATTGCCTGCCTGCCTGCCTGTCCTGCGTGGCTCACCCTCACCTTCACTCTCGCGGGCTCCTCCCAGCCTGTCCTCCCTCTGCCTTTTTCCTCCTTAGTCACCTGAAGAAGGAAAGCGACAAGCCGCTGTAGACCCTCCGTCAGAAGTGCTCCCATAGCTCCTGCATCTGGACCAGGAGGACCTGCTCCTGCCCCGTCCACCACCCAACACGAGGAGAGGGTGCTCAGTGGCAGGGGCTCTGCAGCTGGGCAGAGGGAGGAAGGGCCTCACAGAAGGCCAAGGCGTGGGTGGGGGTGGGGGGTGCACGGGGGGAGGGGCAAAAGCCCTCAGCGTCGCTGACCAGGTCCCTCTTTCTTGTCCCCGGCTCCCCTCATCCCGATGCTCAACCTTCAGTTGCCCCCATTGGTGTGATGATCTCATCTGTTAGATGTGGCTGTTTTGCGTAGCATCGTGTGCCACCCCTGCCCCGCCCCTTTGTGCGCACCCCCTGCGATGTCTGCCCTTGTCCTGCCCCACATTAATAATTTATATATATAAATATCTATATGACGCTCTTTAAAAAAAAAAATCCCAATCAAAACCAACCAAACAAAAATGCCCTCACGACTCCCCAGAAAGATGGCTGTGACTTGTTTTTTGTGGGCCACAGGGATAGGCCGGGGGCTTTATGGGGTGTGGAAGCGGGAGGTAATGGGCTGAAGCTGGTTGTGGACCCTGACACCGAACAGAAGACCCCAATGGCTCAAGATCCTCGGATGTGCTGGTCCTTACCTTGCCCAGGCTAGCAAGAGCCTAGACCCTGGCAGAAACCCACAGAAGGCATGGTCAGGCCTAGCAAATCTCTCACTTTGGAGGTGATCCTGTCACTCATGCTAGGTGCCACTAGAGACCCCTAGAAGGAGGGCTTCAGAGTCCTGAGTCTTCTCAAAATAGTTTGAGATAGGGGGATAGGAGGCCAGGGGAGTTGGGCATGGCTTCAACAGACCAACGAAATTATGCGCCTATCCACCACGCCCCCACCTTCAGCATGGGATTGAATCCACACCCTTTGAGAAAAGCTGGTTTCCAATTCTCGATCCTCCTGCGTCAATTTCCCAGAATGCTGGGGTTACAAGCATGCCCCACGCCCTGCTAGCACCAGGTATTAACTGGCGACGGATTCAATCACCTGAATGAGTCTGAGCCAGTTTAGCAAAGCGCTAAGGGCTCACCCTAGAATTTGTAGTACTGCTAACCATTGTCTTCCGGCTTTTAAGAAAAAGATGGACTGTGATTGGTTGGCTTTTAAACCAATCAGCATTAGATTCATTTGCATAGTAGATATTAAACTTTCAGGAACTCTAGAAATAAATGATTTTGCTCAGTTCCTTAGCGTACTTTTTTCTCCTATTGAAGAGCATGGTGTGCTCTGTTGTTTGTACATCAGCGTGGTTGGGAAAAAGAAAATAAGTAATCTGATCTCACCCTCACCAATAGTGGAGTTAACGGATACCCCTAGCTCGCTCCAGGCGCGGTTCCTGTAAGTGTTACAGCTCTTTTAGAATTTGTCTAGCAGGTTTTCTGGCGTTTGCTGGAAAACCCCACCACTTAAATTGTATTCAAATAGTAGTTAGCTGATGAGTTTTAGAGATTGAATGCCATTGATTTTTTGACTATTGCGAAGTTCGGGTTCCCGCTGGGATCTCGGAGCCCAGTGACGCGGGGGAAGACTTCCGGCTACGACTGATGTAGCTTCCCATGAGCTTCTCCCGCGTCTACACGGTGCTCGCAGGTTACGAACGCCGATTTCATTTCACGCGCTCGGTTCACCGGCCCATGGCGTCTGCTTCGGGACCCCCTGCGGCGCTGAGCGCTGAGCAGGCGAAGGGTGAGCTGCGTCTCCGTGCCGGGAGTTTGTTGGGTGCGATCATTTCCTGAACGAGGGGTTTGGAGGATGAATACAGGGCCTGCCTAGGGCTGCAGCTCATTTACTCCCTGCTCTTTTGTGTTCTCTGCGCCTCCCTGCTGTTCCCCGACGCCTACTTGGCCGCCTCCCTGGGCTCCCCGGTTCGCAGTGGTGCTGGCGGAAGTGATCCAGGCGTTCTCCACTCCGGAGAACGCCGTCCGCATGGACGAGGCACGAGACAATGCATGCAACGACATGGGCAAGATGCTGCAGTTCGTGCTGCCCGTGGCCACGCAGATCCAACAGGAGGTTATCAAAGCCTATGGCTTCAGTTGCGATGGCGAAGGTGGGAAGGCACTGGGGTGGTGGTGGAATGGAGCCGGAAGTCCAGGAGAGGGTGCAGGGTCGCCGCATCCTAGAGCATTTAGTCCTTTTCTTCGCCACACGGCGGCAGCCGCAATCTGATTGTTGAACACCTACAGTCCAGCGTCTACCCTGAACTTTTGCTGGAAGGGGCCCTGAGTGCGTCTTGTGCCTATTAGTCACTGTTTTGGTGCGTGCTCAGGGTCTCTCGGCCTGAGACCTGGACCTCACTTCTGCTAGCTGCGGCAGCTGTCTGCAACTGGAACTTCTGGAGCACTTTCAGGGGTTGGAGGTTGCATTTTTTCTCGGTGAAATCACAGCATTTCCCCAGTGTGTGAAGGACTGGGATCTGCCATGTTCCCTGGTCTTGTGACCAAACTGCTAACGTGGCTCAGTGGCTCGATGGAAAGAGAGAAGCTCATTGTTTAGTGTTTTTTGTTTTTTTTAATTTCCTGCATCCATCCATTATGCTCTACTTGGACCAAAAGTTGTTGATCCTAACCCTGCAGGTCGCAGGACTGCAGAATCTTGGGTCATGGGTGGCTACCTGGCCTCAGGGAGAGCCATGTTTACCTGTACCTGTATTGACACCTCACTGGCACCCTGGTCTCAGGAGTGTGCATGACTCTCCACTCCTTCTTGCAGGTGTTCTTAAGTTTGCCCGCTTGGTCAAGTCCTATGAAGCCCAGGATCCTGAGATCGCCAGCCTGTCTGGCAAGCTGAAGGCACTATTCCTGCCACCCATGACACTGCCACCCCATGGGCCTCCTTCTGGTGGCAGTGTGGCTGCCTCCTGAGAGTCAGCCTCTCCACTCCCAGGGAAAGGAACGCTAAATGTTTGCGAGGACAATAAACGTGCCTGTCACTGAGCCTGTGTCTGTGTTCTGAAGCCTTACCTTCCATCTCCCAACTCCCTACTTTCCTGGGTTGCCCCTTTCCCATGCCCTTCCTGTCCTCCCCCCCACCCCCAGGGCAGGTGAGAGCTGACTGGGGCCCTGTGGTCTGAGGGGCAGGTGTGCACAGGCTGCACTTTTCCTCTCTGAGGATACTGACTGCTGAAAGCCTGGTGGCGGGTGTGTCCTTGGCCAGGGTCACTTCCTGGTCTTCACTCCTCCCCACCCCACCGCTGCTGTCAGCCTAGCCCCAGGTGGAGCTGCAGGTGACTCCTCCCCTTCCCTGAGGAGCTGTGTCTGGCGGCAGTCTGGGACTTCAGGGGCAGTAGGCAGCGGCTGTGAGGGCTACCGGCCAGCTGCACCCCACCTGTCTCTTCGCGGAGACCATTATTAGTCCAGGGTCCAGCCTCGCGTGCTATTGGCCTGGCTGCGATTGAGGAGGAAGTGGCTGCGATCCACTCGGTCTTCCTTCCTAGGCCGGCTGCAGCTGGGCCCGGCCTGGGGCCGCCCCCTCCAGGGACTCCCAGCCCTCCGGGAAGATGCTGTCCCGCGGGTGAGTCCTCCGCGCTGGTTTCCGCTGCACCGCGGTTCTTCAGCCCAGCAGGAATGAGTGTTGAGTGCAGGTGTGAGTGTGACTGTAGGCCGGACTACACTGTGGCCTGGGGCTTCCGTCCCCCAAGGACTCTTCTCGTGCTTCTGCGCCTGTTCTCCCCGTTTTCCCTGGACAGTCATGTGTCTTCTCACATCCTCGAACCTCCTGGCCTCCTGTTCCCCACTTCCGCCCCTGCTGGCTGGTTGGCATCAGACATGACAGGTGGCACATGTGAGCATGCCCCTCTTCCCAATGCCCGTCACCTGTGCATGATTTGATTTTGTTTCCCATTACTTCCCCTTTCCTGGGCACCATCCACTGTGTGGTAGCTGCTGTGTAAGGAGATAGGCATGGTTCCTGCTGTCACACAGCTGACATTTCAGTAGGGATTGACACTGAACAAACCCAATAAGGTTAACTTTATATGGTTCTGCATTGGTTATCCCAACTTCTCTGAAGGCTGAGGCAAGAGCAATTCAAATTTGAGGCCACCCCAGGCAATTTATTGAAGCCCTGTCTCAAAAGACCTGGGGGGGGGGGAGCAAAAGCCTCCAGGCCTGCTGGTGCACTCCTGTAATCCCAGCACTTGGAGGCTGAGGCAAGAGGATGGTTGTGAGTTCAAGACCAGCCTGGGCTACGAAGTGAGCTGAAGGCCAGCCTCAGCAGCATAGGGAGACGCTTTTTCAAAAAGACAAGGGAAAAAAGGATTAGAGATATAAGTCAGCACTCCATGGTTCAATCCCTAGTACTACAAAAAAAACAACCAAAACCCAGTGCTGTGTGAGATGCTTGGAAATTTTATACAGAGCCTGGCAGACTGTGAGGGATAGTGCTGGGTGGGTCCATGAGGGTTGGAAGTGGATGGAGCTGAGGCCCAGATGAGGAGGAGGATGCAGCTGTGGGGCATCAAGAACCAAGCAGCCTTTGGAATGGGAAGTGTCAGCCCAGGGTGGGGACAGGGAAGAACCCTGTGCCAGTGCCAGTGTAGGGGGCCTGAGGGAGTGGCTGGGCCAGGGCAGACCCATAAGCACCTCCCACACTGATGCCTTCCATCCGGGCTGCCAGCCCCACAGCCTCATGGCCTCCTGCTCCTGGGCCTTCCCTGTGTGGTATGTGGCCCTGGGTTATTTTCTTACCATGGGGCCTCAACTGGCGCAGAGCCCTCACCTGGACTCTGGATGTTCGATACCTGTTCTGCCCAGTCCCAGCCTCTGAGCCCTTCACTCTGCTTGTGCCTCCATCCTCAGTCTGTGCCCACATGTGCTGCAATCACTGTGCCACACTGTGGTAGACCGGCCACCAGGCCATGGTCCTGAGCTAGGCTTGTTTACCTTCCTATCATTAGCTTATGGCTTTGGGCAAGTTACTGAACATTTTGGAGTCATAGTTTTTGCTTCTCAAATTCGGCTAAAAATAGCTAAATAACATTGACATGAGCTGGGTATGCATGTAATCTTTGTTATTCAGGAGGCTGAAGCAGGGGGGTTAAAAGTTCAAGACCTAGTCAGACTCTATCTCAAAATAAATATTAAAAAGAGCTGGGGTCCAGGTATGGTGGCCCACACTTGTAATCCCAGCACTCAGGGAGACTGAGGCAGGAGAATTGCAAATTCAAGCCCAATTTATTTATTTATTTATTTATTTATTTATTTATTTATTTATTTATTGTATTTTAGGGAAGGGTATACAGGGTGTTCAGGGTCTCACTACTAGATCACATTCAGTCGTGATCCACCTGTTCACAGCCTCCCAAGAGCTGGGACTACAGGCACATGCCACCAGGCCCACTCTCAATCATTGTCACCATACCTGGACCTCACTCAGTCTCCCTGAGTGCTGGGATTACAGCATGCCCCAGGGGCAGGGCTAGTACAGCAGGCTGGGGGACCGAACCCTGGCCCCTGCACCTGCTTGCAGGTGTTTAATCCACTGAGCTCTTTGGCTGGCCCTCAAGCCCAATTTAGTGATTTAGCACAATCCAGCCTCAACATAAAAATGGGCTGGGGATGTTGCTCAGTGTGTTTCCCACCAACAAAAAATATATATAAGAAGGCCTAAAAATTAATATACACTTGTACCTGGCTTTGGTGATGCTGGCCTGATTCCAGCAGCCAGGGAGGCTGAGGCAGGAAAATCACCATGAGTTTCCTGCCAGCCTAGGCTATGCAGTGAGTTCAAGACCAGCTTAAACTACATGGTAAACCCTGTTTCAAAAAGACTAATACTGGGGCCAGGGAGGTGGCTCAGTGGAATAAGTACTTGCCTGACAAGCTCAGGGACCTGAGTTCAATCCCCTGTTCTGCCAAAAAATCAAAAATAAAAAACCTAACTAATAGGGACCAGGATATAGCTGAGCAGCATAGTACCTTCCTGGCAAGTGCCAGGTTGTGAGTTTGGCACAAAAACAAAAACCCAAATGCAAAAATTTGTTCTTCATCCCTCGGTTCCTTAGTATCCATGGGGGAATTTGTGTGTGGTGGGGGGACTTGGGGGGTTGGTTCTAGGACCAGGAGCAGATAGCAAAGTCAGCATACACTCAAGTTTCTGTATAAACAGTATAGGATTTTCATGGAAACCACACACATCTTGCATATGCTTGGGATCTTCTTGGAGAGTGTGATCACAAACCCTACTACAATATAAATGTGTTCAATAGAAGTCTTACTGCCTTGTGAAAGGGATCAGTAAAGAAAAAAGTCAGTGCATCGTTAAGCGCAGACACAACCGGCCCTTGGAGTAGGGCTTCAACCCAGAGGCTTGGCGTTGAGCTGCATTTTCAATCATTTTAAATGTTTGCTTATTTGTCGTTTCTGAGACAGTCTCAATATTTAGCTCAGGCTGGGGAGATGGCTCAGTAGGATAAGCGCTTGACTGGCAATCGCAAGGGTCTGAGTTCAATCCCCGGATCCGCCAAAAAAAAAAAAAAAAAAGAAAAAAAGAAAGAAAAGAAACACAAAAGTTGAGTCCTCATAGATCTGGCAATTTCGGGGCTGGTGAGATGGCTCAGTGGTCTAAAGCACCTACTTAGAACAGGCTTAGCAAAGCACGGGGACTGGGGTTCAGTCCCCTGGCACCACATGCCGGC